TTCGCAGCAAATATCGAATTTTTTGTATAGAAACTCACTTTTATAAAACGTTTTTAACTTTAAAAAAAATTTAAAGAAAAAGAAAAAGAGAAAACAACTTTTGTTACAATGTTCTCGATTAATATAAATTCTTTAAAATCTTGTAAAAATCAGTTTTATAATAACTTCTATTTACAAAGTATACATATGCAAGTGTATTCGCTTGAACTTATGAACGGTAATGTATATTTTATTAACACTAATAATAAAAAAATAACAAAGTAATAAAATCAACAATTATTTAATTAATTTAAGTTGCTTCATTTTTATTTGATTATTTATTGGTACAGCATCTCATTTATGCGTAAATATTTATTATTCTTAGAATAAATGATGATGAGATAATCTTTCTATCAGCAAAGTGTAAGAATAGTGCGCGCGTACATAAAATCTTATCGTTTTATTTTACATTACAATTTTCATATTAATTTTTAAAATGTATTCTTTTAAAAAGATCCAAGAATACACATTTCTACAATTAATTCCTTTTTTAATCTGCAATAAAATTTCATCCGGCGTTTCATCGATACTTTCAAAGAATCACATCTTCGGTTCTGTGTTTTGAAACGTCCTATGGATTTGTTGGAGGATTGACGTATCGGCACCAAGTGTCTCATTAAACACATCAGAACGGTCTAATTGGATAGGTGACTCTTAAGCAATGTTCGCAAAGACGAAGCGAACTCCTCACGGAATGATGCTCGTAATCATTCATAAGAGCGCTTTAATACCGGACGCATCATTCTTCGTATGAATATCTATGCAAAGCAAGAAATAAGAGAGAAAGAGAGCGAGTAACCTGCGTAAAATGATGCAATTCAATGCGCAATCATGAAGACGAATTTGTTCGTCTTAATGACACGCATTTCATTATTTTAAATATCCTGTAACTAACCGCCATTTCTTCAAATCTCACATTACAATTGTTTCTGCATATTAATTCTTTTCCCTTTTTCTCTTTTTCTATATCAAACGCAGGAAAGATATTCAAACGCTCAGTTTTTACTAACAGTATAATTATCTTTATTTGTTTAAATATATTAATATTAATAATAAATTTTTAATAATAATGAAATATTGATTTTAATATAACTATAATATTATATTTATATATATTTTAAGTAGTTATATGTTTTTACATTTATTGATCAATTATATACTTTTTAAAATTTTATTTTAATTAGACGTTACATTAATTTGATTGTTTGACTCTTACATTGCCCTTTTCTTAGTGTAGTTTATTTATAATATTATATTTCCTTTATCTCTTGTTAATTATATGTTTTTTACATATTACCAGAGATCGAAATAAATTTCTATTGTATTTACTATTAAAAATATCAATTGGACATCAATATGAGTTTTTTCACTGTCACTTCGGAGTTTCGAAACGGAATTAGGATTGTGATCCTTCGTAAAGGCCAGTTCACAGAATTACAGGGTTGCTTGTATAAAAGCTTCTCTCGAGAAGGTACTCGGTGGTAGAGAGGGAGAATCGATATTGATTCCTTCAGTAATTTACGAGACGGCCCCCGGCTCGACCTGGCGACTGCGGGTTCGCGGGTTCGATTGTCGTACAATCGCTATCGAAGGCACACCTTAACCCTCTATTCTAATCTGACTTGATTTACACTCCGGAATATCCGTATTGCCGACGGCGAGCGCCGCATTACTGGCTGTCTCTATAATCTCGTCGTTACGCAACATGAAATCGAATAGTATAATGTTCTCGCAATAAACCTCGAATAAACAATTCTGTTGCCCATAATTTAGAAATATATATACGGAAAGAACAGTGTTCTGAAAACTTAGCTAGAAATATATATACAGCAAGAACAGTATCCTAAAAACTTAGCTAGATACAGATCCAAAAATAATTTTGTTGGGCTATCTAAATAATTATGCAGAACACTTCAACATTAATGACATTGCTGCAAAAGATTTTACCCTTCTAGCAATCGATTTGAGAATCCTGTTATTATTTTAATGGTTTCAAATAAAATTATTTTTACATCTAGTTAAATTTTTAGATACTACATAAAATCATTCTGTCTGTGTACCGTATTTATTTGTTGTGTGTAATCAACATTCATCTATTATTTTATATAAGCAATAGAAGTTTAAATATAGATAAGCGAGAAAATATATTAGTTGTAACTGTATAATCCAAAACACTCTAATCCTGAAATATAATTTTCTTTTTCTACGGACAATCAACTGTTTGTCTTCTTGTAGAGCAAGATGATTCTTGAGGGACATTGTTTATGAAAAAACGCAGTGCGAGAGATTAGAAACGCAAGGCGAAACAGTTGGTTGGAGTAGGGTTAATCTGTATGGCCCCCCTGATAATAAAAGCGGATCCTCGCGGGCGCAATTAAACGGTGGATTTACGATATTGTGTTCGAAAGGACAGACTCTACCCCCCTTTAGATTTCACACGAGGGTATTAAATAACGATTTTTATGTTCGATAATCTCCAAGGAGAATCGCCACGGACTCGAAGAGCAATGAAGAAGAACTTTAAGAGCTGTTTAATCCTCAAGGACGATAACGATTTTTGCATTAAAGTCGATTGCTCGAAGAATTTGAAAGTTATATTAAAAAGTTTCCATAAAATATCGTTATTAGGTTAAAAATTATCGCGAAAAATTTAAATAAAATAAAGCATCGAATTCATCAGCTAATCCGACACAATAAATGAATTAATTTTCTTCTCCAATGTTTTAAAACTATCTCTTTCAATCTTTTCATTTTTTAAATAAAAGAAAGATTTATTTCTTGCTTTTGTTATTATACATTTTCTTTTAACAATACAAAATTGTAGTAATTTTGCACGCACTGTTAAATAATTATGCTGATTGAGAGATAAATTAGCTTAGTATTAAATTCTTTTCTTTTCCATCGAAAGCGATGAGAAATCATTCCACGGAATGATTAATCGATTGAAAAGGTCAGTAACACGGGTTAACACACTGATTTCCGGTAATGGACGCACTCAGGCGTTAATTTCGAATGACCATCTCAGGATCATACCGTTAGCATCTCCTTTATCGCGAACAACTTGACTTCCTACCACGTGCCGGGAATTACTTAAGTCACGAGTAAGTTAATATACCGTAAAGGTTGAATCGCGAGATATCAATCTGCTCGGGGGCGAAGGAACGATCGTATACAGGGCCTCTGAAAATATGGAGCTTTTTACTTCAGACTACTATTGATGACTCTGTTGCGTTTGATAAACTTATTTCCACAGTCACGTAAATTCATATTTTCAACAAACGGAAATTACGTGTCGCGGTATCGAGAGGCTCTTCATCATAGTCATTTTTAAAATATGGACTCGGAGAAGAGTTTGAACAAGAAGCCAACAGTCTCCTTTGTTTATGGAGCACTTTATACGCGTACTTGTTGCGGCAGAGTGTTTTCTATTCCGACGATTTCCAGTCGGCTGACCGGTAGGGGAATTTATCGGTACCGGAAAATAAATACAGCATTAATCTGCTGTAATTGCGCAACGGGAGAGTATCAGCGGTGCTAATTTACGAGTCTTATTACAGACTTGAGAGCCAAGCCGAGAGCTGGCTCTCCGAACGGAAGATTCGGGATTTACACTCTCTTAATGCTGATGAATGTTCTAATTGTATACTGATAACTTGATACTGAAGCACCACATACCCGCTTCGTTTCACCTTAATCACCCTTGCAATTAATAACGGAGGGAGAGATTGTGAATTGAGTTGAAAGACGATGAGCTTCCGCAATTTCACGTATATAGCGTCCTTTTGTGTGCATACGTGTGTGTGTGTGTGTGTGTGTGTGTGAAATTCTTTTAATTATATATTTGAATACATAATTAAATTGATGTTAAACTAATCTGAAACCATCACAAAAAAGGAATTAAAGAGAAACTGAAACTAAGTAAAAATACAAATAGGAAAACCAAGCATAAAAAATAGATTATAAAGAGAAAAGAAATCGTCTTTGTCTTCAAGTGATATAATTTTAAAAATTAAATTTCTATTAAAAAAGAGGAAAAGTTATTTTTCAACTTTACAGTCAATTATTGATTAATCAAATGATATCGGCAAGAATATTTTATAGCGAATTTGATTGTATGCACTGGTGCACATTAAAACTGTCATACAAATTGACATGCGGATACGTATTTAATAGATATAAATATAGAAATGAATAAATACAAAGAAGAGAGAAAAAATGCAGGAAGAACACTTGTTTAAATAGTCATATACTGTACATTGTTACGTCCCATGTCACCGTTTTGTCACGTTTTAATGCATGGAAAGTTTTCAACATATTTTTCCCTAAACAATTCTTAATAAACCTTGTTCCATGCCTTTATTTTATTACTTTCAACAATTGCTTTCCTTTCCTTTTTGTCCTTTCATTTTCCTTTCATTTTACCCTTTTGAATTTTTTTTTTTTTTTAATGTTCTGTTTTACGATGTTCTTAGAATTAGGGGAAATGTGCGCACCTAAGGGATATTTATCTTTCTGGGATGGTTTTTCTAAGTTCAAAGCGATATAAATAGGGAAATAGAAAATATAAACATTCTCTCTCCTATCATTACGTATTCTTATATTGAACACAGATTTTCATTCAATAAGGTTGTATTTAGCAAAAAGGAAAAAACGGAAAAGTGAAAAAATTTTTCACGCGTCGAATAATTGTGCGCAAAGCAAAAGTTGTAGGAAGTGAATGAATTATGTAATGTTAACGAAGAAAAAAAATCATAAAATACATTTATAACATTGTAATATAAATATATATACTACCTCAGATTTATAACATTGTAATATAAATATATATTACATATATTATATGTATTTAGCAAAAATATAAAACTAACCTCCAATAATATTAATGCACATAGACTTTAACAAAAATACAAAAAAAATATTTCTTTACAAATTATATATGTACTATAAAGCAAACTATTATCTTACGTCGTTAAAGCAACGTACTGTTATATCGATACTATTTCGCAGCTATTGGTAGGATCGTTAATGATCCAACCTAACCTGAATCTTTAACACGTACGAATCGATGTGTTATTTCGAGTCATTCGAGCCCAGAAAAATTAAGATTTTGCTGAAGAAGAAGTAGAAGCACGGTTACGACGACAGGATGTCCGGATACACTGGCCAGGATAACAATTATTGGGTCCCGCCACAGGGCCAGTTCAACTTCGATACGTCCGGTTTTGGCCAACCTAACCAACAATTCGAATTTCAAACATACGAGCAGATGCCCGGCGATTATTCATACGGGCAAAACAGCTTCTTGGATCCTACACAGAATCCCTACGGCAATGATTTATTCACACAGGACGATTATGCGAAAGGTAAAGAAAAAGATTAAGACGGCGTGCTCACAATCATCTTGATTCTCGAGCTGGCAGAATTGACATCAACGTGTGTGTGGTATGTGACGCATCCATAAATATTGTACATACCGAAATAACTTGAATATGAGATTTGAAGGACATTTATGAAAATTTATTATGTCAGAATCAACAGCTCGTTATATTTCATGTATTAAAACATCCGCTCGAGGATTGATTTGATGTCAACTGTTGTAGGGAATATTTATGATACTCTTTTTTTATATAGGTACCACTGGTTTCGGAGAGGAAGAAGATGAGCCACCTCTGCTGGAAGAGCTTGGTATCGATCCCGATCGGATAATGCAAAAGACTTTGGCTGTATTGAATCCTTTTCATAGAAAAGGACAGATTGACGACGCGAGTTATCTGCTACAAGATTCAGATTTAGCAGGACCTGTGATGTTCTGCTTAGTCCTTGCGGCGTTTCTTCTGTTAGCTGGTTCAAAGGCACACTTTGGCTATGTATATGGATTGGCCATGACATCCTGTATACTCATGTACCTTCTACAATCTCTAATGAGTGGCAGCAGTAACATCACCCTGTCATCCGTTGCATCTGTACTGGGATATTGCATGTTGCCAGTGGTGGTTCTGGCAGGACTCGGTGTCTTCACTACATTGCGAGGCCCGATGGGCTTGACTTTCGCAATCCTGGCTGTCACTTGGGCATCACTCTCTGCTTCTAGACTTTTTTCTACTATGTCAGGAGAGGAAGACCAGAAACTTCTTATAGCTTATCCGTGTCTACTTCTTTATGGCGTATTTACATTGATAATTATATTTTAAGGAAAGAATCCAATGTGTATATAACTTTTTTATCCTTGATCAAATTTCTCAAATCTTAATAAGAATACATCTTTTGTTTTCTTAGATTGGTGCTAATGATTATGTACGATGAAGCAATATTTACATTTTTGGCACATTTAGTAACACAGTAATCTGTAGTTTCAATCCTGCTATATAATAATATACAGTTAATTAATTTTCTGGCATCTTTAATAATTCTTTGGATTATTTTAATAAGCATATTTCGGTAAATACGTTTATTTTAAGAGTAACATGTGAACATACATTGCATTTAGTGTTAAAACTAGATTAAGCCATTTGTTACAATTTCTAAATAAAGTTTATAATATTAATTTGTGTCATTCTTGTCAAATATTGTTATCATGGAAATTGCAAACCTAAATTATATACTGTATTACTAAACACTAAATAGTTAAAATATTTCTTCATTTTTAAAAAAAAGTACAATACTTATACTATATACAATGTCTCCACTACATACAATATCTAAAAATTTTAATTTTTATAGTTAAAACTTATTTTAAGTTGCTCCTATGTGATTAATGTATTTTTCACTTAGCACACATGTCAAAATTTGTAATAATAAATAATCTGGCTGCAATAATAACATTTGAACTTCAAAATGATTAATTTGACAGTATAGATATGCATGAGAAGATTAATAATAGTCAATTTACAGCGATCAAAATATTTGATTTTTCAATATATCAAGATATAATAAATTATTGTGATAACATATATTTTTCTAATGTATCTTAAATATTGCAACACGTATATCTAAATAAAACATCAAAGTAAAATATGAAACGTTGATTTTTTTATTTTCCTGGCAATTCTTTTTCCTTTTACATTTCTATTTGGAAAGTTTAGACTTCTGGAAAATTGTACGATCGTCTATCTGAATGCACTCGCTTGATCTTCTTTTTGCAGGTGTTCCATCTGACCCGGCACAAGTGCAACAACCAATTTTAGTTTGTACGGCGCACATCCATTGGGATCCCGAATTCTGCGATGTAAAACTAATACAGACGATGATGCTGAGCAATGAATTACGTTCCATTTTGGACCAAGCTGGCCAGTCTTTCAGACCCGGCCACAAGCCTGACTCTTCCAACGTTCAACTGTTGCTTTGTGGCGACTTTAATTCTTTACCTGATTCTGGTAACGCACGTATTAATGATCTTATTTAAATTTTTCTTTGAATTGTTTATTTTGTTATTTAGTAATCACTAATATGTGTATATTAACTGGTAAAAATGAAACTAATAGTAATATATCATTTGCCGCAGGTGTGATTGAATTTCTTACATCCGGACGCGTGGCGGCCGATCATCGTGATTTTAAGGATTTAGCATATAAATCGTGTTTACAAAAGATCTCTGGCTGCGATAAACCCAACGAATTCACGCATTCTTTCAAGCTTGCATCCGCCTATAGCGAGGACATTATGCCCTACACCAATTACACGTAATTAAGCTTATTATTTCTTTGCACAATATTTTATACATGTATATAATATGATATACATGCGAATATTTAACACATTTGTTTTACGCTTGCAGATTCGAATTTAAAGGCATAATAGATTACATTTTTTATTCGAAACAAAGTATGGTACCGCTGGGCCTCCTAGGTCCGTTGAGCCCAGAATGGTTTAAAGAGCATAAAGTGGTAGGATGTCCTCATCCTCACGTTCCATCGGGTGAGTTTTATTTTGTTTTACATTATTTTTGCTTACATTCCGCTAACAAAGATATGGATGGTAGCGACATTTTGTTTCTTATTTTAGATCACTTTCCTCTGTTAGTGGAGTTAGAGATGACACCGACAGTAGGAACAAGCAACGGTTTGATCTCACGCAGGTAGCAGCCGCTGCGATCTAGGCCCAAGTAACCGTAAGAAGACGAAGAATCAATAACGAAAATAAAAAGGGGGGAAAAAAAGGATTTGCATCACTTCTTCTCTACTTCTGGCTCTAGCAATATCACTCGCATTACTTTTACTATAATAGCAAATGTTACACAAATACTCCATGCATTGCCGCACATTCAATCAACAGCGATCGCTATCGACGGGATACCGACGAACATAATTCTAACGACCAGGTGAAGGGAGCCGTGTTGTAATGCGTTTAGCTAGCCCATGTATAGTGTATTGCATTTTTAAGAACTATCTTACTCCCATGCCTAAAGATTATTGTAACCTCTCTATTTACCATCATAATATGTGTAGATACCTATTTTCCTACAAAAAAGTAATGAAAATGAAAACGATATTCCGATCGAGAAGCCTCTGTGATATCGACATTTAACACAATTGGAACACATTTACACATTTATTAGTAAATGAAACTAGTAGTGGTGTACTAGAGAGAAAGAGAGAGAGAGAGAGAGAGAAAGAGAGTGAGAAAGAGAGAGAGAGAAAGAGACACATACTTTAAAGGGAATCTCCCTTCTCGCCCTTCCTAAATGTCATTACAACATTCTCCAAGCCAATCTTTTGATAAGAATGCTGCCATCCACACAATGAGAAAAAAAATAAAAAAAATTGTATTTTTAAACGAAACGAAAACAAAAAAAGATATGAAATACATGCTATACTGGGCTGTGCGAAGTGATTGGAGTGATCGACTTAAAACAATTTCAATGCAAGTACAAATCTGTTCTTATTGGCCACGTATATATTGATATAATATGGTAATGTTATATAAGGAGAACAAGAAAACATATATAGATGATAATGTAGCGGGTGTATTTGTAAGTATGATATAATGTAATGATGTTCATCACACACGTCTATCATAACATCAAGTGAGATCAGTTCAACATTTACCCCGCATTTTAAGTATTCGTTTGGGTCCGATTAATGTATATGTGCTCTGTATCACAATCTAATACTTGTTAATTCAGTTGCCACCGAGAGAAACACGAGGGAATTTTTTTTATATACAATCACGCGCGAACATCTTCGCATTCTTTCCGCCACTGCATTTCTATTCGCATGATATCTTGTTTATCCTTAGTCGCAGCTACCAAAAAAAAATATGTAGGCTCTAATTATTTTAGTTATCGTAGAAAATATCTATTAGACAATTTTTAACAATATTATAAAATAGGCAATATTTTGAACACATAATTACAGTGCAAATGTACCTGCATATTAATCTATTTTCGAATTTATCTCATTTGCAATTTTTATTTTTCATTAATTTATTTAATGCAAATGATTCAAACGTGCAATCTGTTATTTACAACACTTTACACAAATATACACTGATTCGCTAAAAGTTTTATCGAAATGGGAAAGACTTTTTTTATATTGCTGTGTATAATATATTCTTTAATTTTATCTCTTGCAGCAATAGTTAATTTCTAGATATTAGGCATGTAGATATAATTTTTCTTATGTATGTGTTGTAAATATGACGATGGGATTTTGCAATTAATATACAGCTTATTGAAGAATGCATAATTAATGTATTAAATAATTAAATATGCACATATATATATATATATATATTCTGTAATATTATGTTACAGAATTCGTATTTTGTATATTCTTTTCATAATTTTATTTTTCAAAATTATTTATTAAGATGCAAAAATACTTAAATTTATCGTACAATAATTGTATATGTGTGCAGATTTCATGAAATATTTCTTAAGTTTTTATAATGTACGATAAACGATGTAATTATAGTCGCATTGATTCAAGCAGGATAACACCAATGTGAACGAACACGATCGGAAAGATACGTAAGGTCATATATGGCACAAATTATTATTAAGACTCGGACATTCGTGCATGATCATGGAGTACGTGCGAAAAACCGCTGCGTAAATAAATGGGTCGAGTGTTTGCTGAAGTGAATAGCAACATTTTAGCTGGCACACGATTTTAATATAAACAAAGCACGCAGTGGTTCTCTGCACACGAACATTTGGGTTCTAATTCGCAAATATTTTATAAATATTGTAGTATAGTAAATTGATCTCGTTACACGGCACAATCGATGGCTAAGAGCATAATAAATTTTCCATTAGAAAGAGTGAAGATTTTTTAGTTTGTGCGGTGTTAATTCGGGATTCCAACAACTGAATTATACAAGTAAAAGATTAGTTTATCAAAGACATGTGTGTAGTAGACGTTGTATAAAGTAGATTTAGTAGATAATTACGCTATAGTTTATAATTATCTCGAGAAAAGAGGCGGCATCTCTTTGGTATTTGTATATTTCTTCGTATTAAGTATGTGTTTTCGCATGGCAAGCGAATGACGTGATGTATTAAAATTCATTGCCGGCTGCTCTGGGCCTAACTTAAAATAATCGGAACAAAGATAAATGACGAATAAGTGAGATGGTGGATTTTTCTCCGATAATAACGATGAAGATATCTGGAAAAATCTTATAATTTGTACTCTCTTATGAAAAGGAAAACGAACAAATATGATATATATAACGATCATTTTTAACTCGCTCCTCTTTTAATATTATGGTGTATCACGTAGAAAAAAGAACATTAGTACAATTCGTAATGTCTCTTAACTAGTATATCGAATGTGGAAATGTATTTTACAGCGTGAAAGTACCTATGTTTCCTTCGCGGTAAATAAAATCTTTCGTGACATATTTGGCGATTACTAATACACGAAAATTCTTCAAATTAGAAACAAATTGCAATTTCTTTGCAAAAAAAAGTTTGTTATCCCAACAGTTACAGGATACGACGCGAGAAGGAACACGAAAAATCATAATTTTATCAGCAGTATTAAGATCGCATGGGTATTTTCATAGCTCTGTCCGTAAAGATCATTCTGTAATTGTCTCTTAATCTACTCTAGCAAAGAAAAAAGAAAACGGAAAAAACAGTGGTATATACGTTATATCGATTCACTATTTTATTCTTTTTAAATACGTGAATACGCGCGGATTTGCGTTTTAGGGTAAATGTGATGATTAATTGTAATGCGAATGGGAAAACAAGTCGGAGACTTTGTCCGATCGATCTTCGACATGTAATAAAAATATCGTTTACGTAAAAAGAAAAAGAAGAAGAGGAAGATGATGAGGAACAGGAAAAACGTGCGGTTACGGCACATATACAGCGGCACATACTTTTGCTTTGTGAACAGAGAAGAGCGAAGCAAGTCGGGTAACACACAAACACACGTGCTCTCATGCATTTTTGGCTGTCGCGCGAAGCCGCCTACGCCATAGTATTTCAGATATATTAGCTTTGAAGTAACGGAAGCTCTCGAGAAGATTAATTATTCAGATAATATATACTTTAACTTAAGTAACATGAACACTCACGTCGCATTCGTCGAACGCGATGATTTTACAGAACGACGTTCCTTATTCGATCCTCTGAAATTAACATATAATAACATCGTAAGTATAAATTGAAGAACGATTTTTTTTCGTGAAAAAGAATTGCGAAATTTTACATTTAGTACAATTGATTTGTACTTAAATAAGGAAGACTTCTATCTATAAAAATATGTGGATAGTAATCTAATTCTTCACACGATGTTATAATTGTTTATTAGATATATTTATTTGTATTTATCAGTTCTATCATCTTTTCAGAATCGATTATTAAATTTAATGTATCTGTAATCATCTGAATTTATTGAAAAATCAATGTGGAATTTATATTTTACAGATATAATATTATCGCGCTACTTCGCCGTTTTTGAAATCATCGCCTTCTCAGAACGTTAACTGTTCAATATAAAGAATAATTTTATCACGCATGATCGACACGCAAAAATCATTGCAAAAAAATGCAACGTTCAACTATGGATTTGTATCGCAAGAAACATTTTACGCTATAACATTATCTTATAATTAAGATAACGTGTTCTCTCATTTCTTCTGCAAGGTATCTATATATAGCGACACTTTAAGGGAATTATCCATATGTACTGTAACGAAAGTTTGATGAATCCTAATTGAACTTAGTTTTCTTCCCTCCTCCCCCTAACACGATCAATGTCAGGTGGTAAATTGTACATACGTTTTTTTATTAACATTCGCGAAAATTTTGTAGAATTTCATGAGCGTAATAATACTAACGATCCCGCTGATAAAGCTCTAGGATATATTGGAATAATGCGTGACGCGTATTATATAAAGAGTAGACGTAATAGATCTATATATCTCAGAATAAAGTTGATTGTAATGGCAATATAATTGCAAAATATCACAGCACGTTCGATTTATTTTAATACTTTCAAATAATTAAATAATTAGAAGATCAATGTAACAATATTTTTAATTGCTTTTCGTATAAATTAAATACAATTTGTTATATTGTCTTAAATCGTAACATTTGTCCAGATTTTGCAATAGTAGATTGATACGATATTTCGTTTTAGCAATTTCAATAATATTACTGAGATTAAATTTGTTCGTAAATAATATATACATTTTGTTTGTTTGATAAAATTGATGATAGATGACGTCACTAGCGAGGAATATGATATTTATCTCTAAGCTTGACAATAAATGAATATAATTGTAATAGACTATCTCATCATTTAACGGATCTTTCAATAAAAAATGCTTTATAGTGCTCTTGCAGTGTCGGTGATAGGCTGCTGGCCTACGTCATTTTATCATTTTATCAAAACATTATTTCAAATGTATTTATCATAAGAAACTCTTGTACTATTTTATTTATTCTCTACTTTTATTTGCATGAAGTATATGGAATGTGATTTGTGTAGTCATATATAATTTCGCAAAAGACAGTAATTTTACTTTTATCAATATTTAAACAGTATCAAAAATTTTCCATTCCATTCTGCAAAGAAAAACAAGGTGCCAATCTCGGGAATATAATGCATTTTAACACACTGTATTTTCGGAAATTGCAATGGCGTATTTGCGAAGACACGATGAAGTCTGTAGCTTCATAGTATTATATTACATGACTTTAAACTTTAAGAATCGAAATTCGATGAAACCGTCGATTTGACTTACAATTAGTAATATTACTGATATTCAATATATTGAGCGAACAAGCAATTAATAAGGATTCATCAAACTCAGTAGCATAACATAATAGTAACGTAATCTTTATCTATACATTATAGAAAAGCCGCAAAATTGTTTTAAATCAAGCTAATGAGGGAAAACACCATTTAAGCTTCTAAGAAATCTCATAATACGTTACATGTTTCTCTGAATACATTAATTTTCAATATTCTGAGCTTCTACAACAACGCGTTCAAATCTTAGTTCTCTTTTTTAGATATTACTTAATATTAAGTAGGTATTTTTACTTGAGACGATGAATATATAGTGACTTTTTCAAAGTCTTGTACAATATGAACGCTGTGTTCTGTTGCTTTTGGAGTGTTTACCTATACTTTCGATATAATTAGGATTAATGCCCGCGATTCTCTTCATAAACACACGGGCACATTACATATAACGACTTAAGAATATATATAAATATATAAATACATAAAAAAGGGACGTTGTACGCGTAATTTGACATAGAATAATACGTAATTGTCGATCTCGTAAATTCAATAGTTTTTGCTAACGTTTATCAAAATCAGTATCCTAAATAAATTCTTATATCTTTAATTTTAATTTCCGGTTATTAAAAAATATATAATTGACCACAAACAAGTCTGTCAACATTATTATATAGTATTATATTGTTATATATATTAATAGAAGTAGTATGTATAATGTAATATTATTATATATACTTCTATTAACATCGATATTGTAATAATTAAAAAATATGTAAAATATATAAAGTACACAATTGTATATGCACATTATATATTTTATATATTTTTTAATTATTAACTTTAATTGTTATATATAATAATGTGATTAATATAATAATATTAATTTTTATGAATATTATTACTCAATAAACAGGCATTATTTCTAATATTACGGTATCCATTATTATTATTAAAATTATATTTAATTATAATATCCGGAAATGTTTAGTCTATATTCTATTATTATATAAGCAGTGAAACATGTATGG